GCCCTCCTGATAGCGGACAGCTGCAAGCACCCAAGTGGGGCAGATGCTTCCTCATGCTTTGCTGGCCCAACCTGGAACCAGGGCTCGTTAGGACTAATTACTTTGCCAGCAGAATGAAGGATGTGTCCTTTTTTTGCTGTAAGGATGCTATGAGCCTTGTAAATGGGAGAAGTACTATGCATAAACTTGGCTGGAGCCAGGGGAGGTCTGATTGTAGGCTGAGCACACAGCCTGACACCTTGCAGGGCACCAGGCAGGTCCTTCAGGAGCCCTTCTGCTGCTGTCTGCCATCAGCCCTCTCCTCTTGGCCCGGTGCCGTGTGCCTGCAAGCTGCCGCTGGTGGCAGATACCCACACCCTGCCATGGCGTGCAGGAAGAGATAAAAATACCAACAAAAGCAGTCAGCTGTGCAGGAAACGCCCTGACGCCTCCAAGGAGGCACTGACGAAAGGGAAAGGACCTCAAAGAGGCAAAATCCCCTCGCAGTCCGTGCAGCCGCGCTGACCTATAGCTCCACCTCTCGATTCTGCTCTATTTTATTTCGCAGTCAGCACCAGGAAGCCAGTTTGATTTCCAGAGGAGTATCATTTGACGGAAACTAATCTCTCTGCAGCCCCTTTGGGTCATGCATTATTACTCACTCGATGGTGATGGCTGGGATCTTGCTGCTGGTCCTCTCCAGACACAGGAGATGGGGTGGCTGCAGCCTGGGGGACAGCTCAGCTGCCTCAGGAGCTGACGAGTTCTGTGCTCCCTCCAGCTCATACCTGAATGTGATCCAGGATGACGCTTGGACCACAGGCTCTGGAGGCCAGATCTTGTGAAATACAAATGCCACCACGCCAGCAATGGTGCAGGCTGCCTTTTCTTGGTGATTGCATTGCCACGCATGCAGCGTGCAGCTAACAGCAAAGCACTTTGGAAATTCAGGAGAGCAGTATGTGGACTTTATAGATGAGATATCTACTATTTGTCCTATTCAAAGCTCCCAGCCCTGTGCCTGGCCCTGGGGATAATCTCAGAGCACCCGTCAGGAGCCCCTTCCCCTCCCACCCCCCCCACTGCCTGGCCTCTCCTCCTCCAGGACCACCCCCACAAGGACTCAATGTTTTGAATGTTTTTGAATGTTTTCCACTGGAAGCAGAAAAATGCATTTGGGGATTAAACTGTGTTTTCTACAGAGAATTTTTTTTTTTTTTTTCCATAGGGGAAAAATACGCCATGAGACACCAACAATTTTGCAGTTTTGCCTGAAATCTTAACAAATTAGGATAAAAATACATTGTTTTTGATGTATTTGTTCTGGCTCTTTTTAAATGAGAGTTGTTGTTTTTATCTGGAAATCTACTCCAGCTCCTGGCTGAAGGTCTCCCATCTCTTGTCCTTCGTACAAGATACCAGAGACTTTGGCATCAGACACCCTGAGATGCCCACTGCAGTAAGAGCTGCCTGGCATGGCCCGCTCTGGATGGCAGACTGCACTATAGGGTTGAGCAGACTCACCTGAAGGCTCAACCAGCCTTTTGTAGGCTTTCTGTACTTTCCTATGGCTTTTAGTCCAGCTGATTTACCTGCTCATCTTGGCTGAGCTTCTTGCTGCATCCAGCTGCTTTATGCTGTGCCACTCTGCATGGTCCTGGGCTGGCATTAATGGCATTGCCTTTGCACAGGGGAGTGTTTGGCTTTGCTCTGTTGTACTGGTGCTGCTGGCCTGTGCAGAATTGCAGTAATTTCATATTTTTGGCTCTTTGAGACTCTGCACTGGGGTGGGATGGAGATGGCACTAAGAAGGGATGGGACTGTGATGCCATGTGGGTACCTGTCCACTGCACTGCAGTGAGGAGCAAGCAATTGTCCATGGGACAGCTGCCAGGATGGGACAAAGAGAAATCCCATAGGGCAGGTCCAGGATGAACTGAGAGCATACCTGAGGATTCTTACATAGAAAAAAACAATCCCCAGAACAGCAATGCGGTGCTGGTCACGCTCTGCATGTCCCAGTGAGGAAAGCCATCAACACAAAGTCTGCCCAGGGAGTTGCAGACGCATGCACCAAGCTGTCATTGCAGGAGGCTCTGACCTGCTTCTCGCCTGACCATTTTGCAGCCTGAGCCTGGTGTCCCTCCTCAGGCAGTGTTGCTGCCGCGCTCCTCTTGCATGGCTGAGCCTCCTTGTGCAAGCACAGCTTTCCGTGGCGTTTCCCAGGTGCTGAGCTGTCTGTGTCACTTGATGTCATCGAGATCGCCAGGAAATGCGGAATGGCACAAGTTAGACATGGAAAAAATGTGCACTGATTTTTTCAAGACTTCCACCCCCAAAAACAAACGCTGTAAATAAACATTGGACTGAAAAATGCAAGGCATATTCCAACAGTCTGCTGGGCTCCCTCAGGCAAGTGCAGATGTTTCAAGCCATCCAGTGACATCTTGCACTTAGAGTCATGAGAAGAAGAGACACTGTCAGGTAAAGCAGAATCAGTGCCAAGCTCTCTTTTCACTGCCACAGAAAGGACACTTTGCAGTAGATTAAGGCGACTGGGTGTTGCTGTGTCTCAGTGAGTTATCCACGTTCAGACCAATTTTGTTGTTATAGAAGTTGTTAACCCAGAAAGGTTCATCATCAAGAAGTGGGACTCAGAAAAGCCTTAACGAGGCCAAGCTCATTAGCGCAGCTCCCCCAGGACCTGGAGCTCAGGCCGGTGCTGGGCAGCGTGGCTGGACGGGGGGCTGCCATGCCAGCAGGGCGAAGCGTGCTCAAAAACTGTTTTCTTTGAGCTGCAGCTATTTTTGGCTCCAGTAATCTGTGCAGAGATGATAAAGCTTTGCAGTGCAAAGTGAGAGGCTGTGCAGTGCTTCTGGGCAATTTCACTTCATGAGCTGCTCTCAGCCTTCCCAGCCACTGCAGAACGTTATCTCTGCCCGCTGAGCCAGGCTCCTCTGAGGGCTCACCCCAATGGGACAGATTGGACCCACAGCCCCAGATTACTTTTTTCCTCCTAGGAAATTATTTTTTTTTGAAAAAAAAAAAAAAAACTTTTTTTTTTTTTTTTCCCCCCAGTCTCCAAAGTTTGTTTAAAAGCCTTTGCAGAAAGCAAATCTTGGCCGGGAGCCTTGAACCACTCATTTCTGCAGAATTCCTTCCAACCAAAGGCTCTTGCAAAATAAGTCACTGGCTGGTAACCTCTTTGCAGCAGCAACAAATACAAGTAGGTCTCAAAGTCAGACCATGCAGTGATAGCACCATCCCATACCATGTTTTACCCACGAGGTTCCCACAGCTCATTGCAGTCTCCCCCATATGCTCGATAGAAGAAGCACTTTACCTGCTACTAGCAGGAGAAACCATGGCAGCTGTAGCGGACTACAAAACAAGCATCAATCCTGCTTGCTAAGGGATTTGTTTGTCTAAAAGTATCCAGAACCTTCTTCAGTATAAACCCACAAAGGTCATGCATCCAGCACATGCTTCACCAGAAAGTCATCCCCCTGGCCAAAGCCTTCTTGTTTGTGATTGGAGTGGATAGCAGTGAAAGGAGAGGGAAACATGCAAGTATTAAATAGGGCTCATTTTGTGTGGGTACACAAAAAGGGCTAAAAACAACCGTTGTATCTGGCCCAGGTGTTACTGCATGGGAAGCAGGTGTCCCTTCCTTTTGTCCCTCTGTTCCTGCTGCATGGGACAGCTGGATGAGCACAGGCAGTAGGCTGGGTTGGCACCTGCACTTCTAGCTTCTGGAGAAAGGGGGGTGCTAATAGGGGAGAAGTCATCTCTGCCAGCTCTGAACAAGACTTGCTAAAGGTGCCCAATCATCACATCGTTTCATGGTGTTAGGCAGCCAGACGAGGATTCCTGCTTCAGATGTGCAGAAGGCCTGTAAATGTTTTGATCCTTACTTGTGCTTTCACGTGGTTTTGTTGCAGGGCTCAGAACGGGGTGCTGGCTGGTCCCGTTGTGAGGCAAAGGGCTGCAGACCTCAGGCTTTGCCCTGTGCACCCACATCGCCCCTTTCAGCCTCCTGCCCTGCTGCTGCAGGTCCCTGCATTCTGTCCAATGGAGAAGGGGTGCAGGGGCTGGATGCTTTCACAAGCAAAGCCATTCCGGTGTCCTGAGCATCCCCTGCCCTCGGGCAGGGTGGGATTAGCTCCTTTGGAGGCCGCCAGGGCTGAGAGCAGCAGGCGCAGTGTCCCTGCGATTTGCTCCAAGAGGGCTCCATGTTCTGGACAGGGAACAAAATATTCTGTCTGTGCAATGTCATCTTTTAAGCATGTGGTATGAAGAGAGAGAGGAAAAATTCTAAACATTGTTACCGTCTTAATGTTGTAACTAAATATGATGCACAGGTATTTCTTCTAGTCTTACAAGGATGCTGCACTTTTAGGAGAAAATGCATCTTCTGGTTCCTTACCATCAGCTCTGGGTATATTTGCTGTATCTGTTTCAGATCCTTTCCCTCTCCCAGAGTTGGGCTGTTTGTTTGTTTGGTTTTTTTTTTCTTCCAGTGGGGTGAAGTCTTCACTTTTATGCAGGACTACAGCTTTCTGGGCACGGCATTTGCTGTTTTCATGCAGTTCCCAGCTGTCACTCGCTTCTGGGGATTGAATCATTTCCCTTTGTGCCAACTCTCAAGTAGTGGTTTTCTGCTTTGTAAAACTTGGCCTGATAAAGCATTCCGTATCTTTATTTAGACTGTCCATTGCAAGTATAGTCTAGCAATGATGTTTAAATAGACACCAACTTTCTCAAGCCATATCTCCATTTGTGACTGGCCAGGTATGTTGCAGTCCACAGGTGTGACAGCCATGGTGTTATCTGGAACTATTTGGCCATGCTGTGAAGGCACATTCAGGGATGCAGCCTGCACAACAGGCTCAGTGTCTGTGAGACACCCTTCCCAGGCTGCATGTGGCTGCTGGAGCCTGACTTTGCTGAGCACGGGGATGTGGCACCTCACTGCTGCGTGCATTGCAGAATTACAGCCCCAAGTGGCCTCAGCTCTCCTCATTGCTATGGCAACCTGCAGGCATCGTGGTGTTTGGACAGGAGGTGTGTGCTTTCCAGTGGCACTGCATGCCTTCCTGCAGAAATGAGTGTTCAAACAGAGGAACCAGGAGGGAAAATCTTTTTTATTTTGACTAAGATGCCTCATTAGTTATTTATCCAGGCCTCGAGGCACTGTAACATATCATTACTAATACAATCACATCTCAGCAGTCTTTAAGGAATGAGCTGAACAAGAATGCAGGCAGCTGGGCACTCAGAAACATTCCTTTGTGCCTCTTCATCGCCATGGGAAGTTCATCCTCAGCTGCGCAGCAGCTCTGCACGCACTGCTCCTGATCTGGATGCAGAAGCCACAAGCAAGTTTGCAAACTGTTCCATCACTGGCTAATGAAAAATTGTGCCGTGCTGAGGAAAAAGGTGAATGGAATAACAGATCCCATGCTTCATTTGCAGAAAGGGACAAAAGAACAACAACAAAACAACAGAACCAACAATTTGTGGTTTACTAGATATATTTAAAATACAAGATTAGAGACTTCATGAACTTGATATGGAAAAGCTGCAGGAAGCTGTATGTGATCTTTCTGGCCCTGGGAATGACAGCTTGCTACACGATGACAGCCTGGCCCAAAGACCTGCATATGTGGAGAATTTGGTGTATGGGGGCTATAAAGGGAGTTATCACACACTGACTGATAGCCACGCTGTATGGAGGAACCTCATGCAAAGTAATTCCTAATCTGAAGTAAGCCACTGCACAATCTTTACCCCAAGAATTAATGTGGAGTGGCTTGCATGCTCTAGATTTATCATAATTTGCAACATACCAACTTTGTCATGTAAATGGGTCACTTTGGCAGGGTTTACAGTGTGCTTATCACTGTTTGTTCATCACCCCTTCAAGCTGGGACTCCACCAGAGATCAAGCCATTGAACACTACTAGCTTTGGGTACTGCCCAGCAGGAGCCACGACCTGGTGCTGGCATCAGCGCTGTCAGTGATGGCATCCAAACCACATGTGTTTAGGAAGCAGTCAGGAGTCATTCCTCATCAATCAGCTTTTTCAGTTGGGTTCATTTAGTTCCAAGCTGGCTAATTACTGTCTTTTTACGATAAAGACTGCAAGCCAGGCAGAATAATTCCTCCTGTTACTGGTGCCAAGATAGCATGTCTGCGCCATACGGAATGTGTCAATTTTATTAACAGTAAACAATGGCTCTTCAGTTAAGCAATATCTTAGCTTTCTCTGGCTCCTAAGCATAAAAAAGAAACCAAATTTCAGTCCCTGCAGATAATGAGCAGAGATCACCACAACCACAGAGAACTCCACATCCACACTGACAGCAGCACATCCACTTCTGTTTCGCTTTGATGGCTGCTGCATGAAGTTAAGAGTTAAACCAATCTCAAATACATCTTTGGACAAACAGCTGTGGAGAGCTGCATTGCTGGCTGTCAAGGCACAGGACTTTCCACGAGTCCCTAAAAACATGGTAATAAATAGAGTTGTATTACCAAACATTTTAAGCAATTCATTGGAGTCTGACAAAAAAAAAATCTTCTCCCATTACCTCTCAAGAACAGTAAATTTGGAACTGAGCTACTACTTATATCAGAGGAACACCATTCTGACACTGAAATGCCAGTGGAAACCAAGACCTGCAAGGTGCCTTGCTCTTGCTTTCTATGTCCACTGAATGCTGCAGTAACTCACCCTGTGAGCTGGAACTGATGTGAACTTCTAGTGAAGGCCTGGTGCTCCCAAGCATGCTCTGCAGCAGGAGGCCAGGGCTGCCTTGATAAACCAACGTACACCACTCGGTTCCTGCTGTGCCAAGCATTAGGCTGGGTGCTGCTTCTGCACCGAGTGCACGTGGGCTCCATGAGTGCTGAGCCTTGACAGCTCGTGCCCAGTGCTGCCCGTGGGAAATGGCTTGATTTAGCCTCTCTCAAGCAAAGCCCTATTGAAAGCAACAGCGTGACTAGAGATGGGTATTGTGTTATTAGATCCCCTTAGGGTATATATTTTGTAAAATCATCTACGATGGGAAAAACATTTATATAAAGAAGGATGTCATGACTCACTTTCCAAAGCCACGGAGATTCAGAGCAATCAGAAAATCGTTAGCAGCACAGCCACCCCCTTGTAGTATTCCAGAATTTCTAAATACAGAATTCCTTTTAGATTCGGATGCCCGTTTCTGTTATCTTGAAAGTATTTCTGGAACTCACAGCCTGACTCTTGGCCAGCTTTAAACAAACAAACAGGGAGAAATATTTGCGTAGCTAGAGTGGTGTTTGCTTAATGAGTCCAAGCTGAAGGATTTCATTTTTGCACTTCATTTCTTTAATGCTTGTGAACCAAAGGAAAAAAAAGAAAAGCTTTGGATGTTAAATCACAGCCATTCCAGCTATTGGCTTGGAATAACAATCATTCAACTTAGCAAATATCAAACGTGGGAAGGGATTTTATCTGACGCATCTATATGATCATGTGAACTCCTTCCCCAAGGAGAAACGGTCTCTGCTGGAGACTCAAGAGGAAGGAACTTTTTTCTCTTCTTAAAAAAAAAATTAAAAGTACAACACCAACATAAGAAGCCACTGTTACGTGCTAACTGCGTCCTGGCTCAAATGCAAAAATGCAACCTCTGAAATGTCAGCTGGTATTCTGGGAGGATTCACATGATGTGGAAGACTGATGATAAAGCAACATCTCGCCGGTTTCAGAACTTCATCTTGAAAAGCAGAATCACTGGTGTGGGAAACAGTGGAGAAGGAAGGCAAACACCAGCTAAAAGAAATATCTGTGGCCAGCACGATCCCACACTGCTCTTTATTGTGAGAAGAGACTGGGTCAGGCACTCATCCGACTTTAAAGGCAACACTCGGGTGGTTAAGTCAGTTCAGACCGTGCTGAGGACAGCCCTGGTCAGGCTGTGTGCTTCTGCATGCTGCTGCCTCCCAGCCCCACTGCACAGCTGCTCACACTGTGAGGCTGTGCCCCAAGTAATGCCCCAGCAGCAGCCGCTCATTTGGGCTCTGCATTCCCTCCCTGGGAAAATGAGCAGGCATGGTGCTGGGATTTGCCTCTTTCTCACTTACTGCCTCGCATGGTCCTGTGGCTCTCCTGAAGCTGCACAGCTCATCGCTGTTTTTTGTGATTCCTGACTTTTCCTGCCCCTGCTGTTTCACTGGATGTTGTGCCACGGTGATCGCTGACCCAATAGGGCTGCCCAGCTGGACTTCAGTGTGGGCTTCATGTGGGAGATGGGATCACAGAGAGAGGGAAGTCTTGGTCTAATGAAAAATATATATCAGGAGAGGAAAAATAAAAAAAATATTTGAAGCAATAAATCAGGCAATGTTGGTAAGCCCATGTGCACAGTGCTCAAGTAGGAGATCAACTTGTTTCGTGTCCATCCACTTTTGAAGTGGCTACTTAAAAGCAGGACCTTTGATGCCCTGCACAGCTCGAGGTGCTCTACCAGCAAAACCAAGCCCAGCTCAGCCCTGCTAGGAGCAGGGAGCTGACACCTGGCTCTGTGCTAACACAGTGTCACTTGCAGGGATGGGACACGAGCCCAGCTCCAGCAGCTGCTCTCTGCTGCAAGGCTCCTCCTGGGACAGCTGCTAGCAGCAGTGTCAGAGCAGGGCTCTAGCTGCCCCAGAGGGCTTGCAAAGCTGCAACAGCCCTTCTGTGCAAGATCCTGTTCCCCAAAGGGCAACATCCCGTGCTGCTTGCAGGGATATCATGTTCATTCATTACAAAAGGACACCTTTCACTCCGTCCTCCTTTTTACCAGCCATCTGTTGCTAGTCCTTCTCATGGTTCATTCACAGCTGTCGCTGCAGATCTTTTGTACAAAATACTCCCTCCAGCATGTATATATATATGTTTAATAATTACTATAACCTTTCTTTTTTTTTATTGTTGCTGTCATTTAAATGCTTCTCAATATATTTAAGTTTCACTAATGCTTCCACAAGTAATGAAATAGCTCAGTAATATCACTGGATAAAGATGAACATTTCTCCATCTGTTTTACCAATAACTTTCAGTAGTTTCCAAACCAAAGCACATGATCTGAAAAGAACCAAAGTCATATTTCTGGGGACATATAGGGGTTTGGAACAGAGAGATTGAACAGAGGTGTCCTATAAAATAAATTGCTGGCCAAAGAAAACTGGAAAGGCACAGAGATTACAATTCCTCTATCGTAACGGGAATGACTCATACAGTCGCATAGTCAGTTCGGGTGAAAAAGAAAACAGTTACTCAGTCTCTTAGGGATTTAGACACAGAAGAAGATATTATGCAAGTTTTAGCAGCGTTACTAATGGCCTTGAAGCACACAGCGTTACTATGGCTCTCACTCAGCTCGGCGGATCACAAATAAGATGACTCATGTGTCCATGACATGATAGGAAAATAGTCTAAGAAGAGCAGAGGCAGGTGTTAATGCAGTCACAGTGCATTCAGTCAAGAGAAGATGAAAACTATAAAATCATGAGCAAATGACTGAGGAGAAAAGAAGCCTGCATATTTGAAAGCTCAATAGGGTGGACTAGGTTGAATTTGCTGGTCTCCCACTGCAGGGGCAACTGCAGCAAGTAACACTTGATGGCCTTTGTGTGTTAGTGATGAATATGTACCTGCATCAGTGGTGTGTGATAAGAGCATGCCCCATCGAAAGTGGTCTCAGAGCTCCATAAACTGCATAATATTTATACTTGGGAGGACTTTCTACCCTGCTAGAATGTAATGACTTTGTAGAACTATTAACTCTATCCAAGTAAAGACTGACAACTGCAAGTGGTTTCAGCCATGACGGTGCTGCACTGTTGTCTAAACGCTGACTTTCTCAGAGATGAGGGACTTTGATGGCTACTTCGGAAGTGCAGTTTAAGGTCTGTGCTGTGGAATATAGCTCAACCCAAAGTCTGAACTAAAGAGCGGCAAAAACAGTTCCCCACAAAAAAAAAATCTGAAACCCTTAGTGCCCTGAAGATCCAGTCACAGTTAAAAGCACAATTAAAAGCACTGTTTAAAGCTAAACACTTCACAGAAGTGCAATAGTTAGGTAGGTTTTATTAGAAAGCTGACACCAATACCTTAAAACTCTGAAGTTTATGCAGTCCAGTATGCAGGAAGACATTTGAGCCTCTATCCAGGTCAAAGCACCACTACTGCAAAAACATAGATTGCACACATCTCTTTTAAAATCATACAGATGACTTGACCCAGACATTCTAATTTCAGTTCACTTAGTTAAACACTGCCTGACAGATTCTGGACATTCAAAGGATCATTTAATTATAAGCTGGATCTGTTGCTTGCAAAAACACATCCCATGAAGAGCAGGAACCCTTGAATACTCCAAGGAGCACCAGGGAAAGTTCGGAATTTTTGTTATCATGAAAGGGAGACCCTTGAGATTAACAAGAATAGCACTAACGCACAAGCTTGAGTGACATTCTCCTATTAGCTCAGCTGCACAAAGAACTGCAGAGAAGTATTTTCAAATGATTCTATCTGACACAGTAGCTTTAAATACCACCTAATTTGGAGGAAAAAAAAATTCTAGGTACTTCAAACAACAAATATATAGGTATTAATGAGATATAACACATGTAAGGAATTCTAATTCTTATTCTTCATTCTGCTGTCAGAAGTGATTAATGCAGCAGAGCGGGGTATTTTTGTAAAATGAGGATAACCTCCTGCCATGTCCTGTCTCGTTCCCATAGCTGACAGCAACCAGGCTGACTTCATCCTTATCGCCTTTTGGAAGTGTGTGCTTTGAGATGATGTTACACAGAATCAGAGGAGTATTTATGGGGGGAGGTGAAATGAGCACTTGGAAACGTTACGCTGACAGCCCAAGGAGAAAGCCTTCTACCTGTACTCTTTGTCTTTTCTTTGCACAATCCAGTGGAAGATCTCACTGCACTTAACAACTCTGCTGGACAGGTATTTCCTGTAAAGAAAACAGTATAAGCCTCAGGATTTAGCCAAGCTTCATCCCTGTCCTGGTAATGCACTTATGAAACGATCTATCCAAGATTGCTGGGAACACAGAATTTTGGCCTTTATTATGCATACATTCATGTGCACAGACAGTGAAATACCAGGGATGTGGTAAAAGCCTTCTTACACATCCACCTGCTGCACCCAGAAGGGACGATGTGTTAACCAAAAGGCTCGGTACGATCTGAAGGAAGCACAATTTCAGTGATTTACAGCATGATCTCTTTCTGAAAGAAGCCTGTGCCCTTTCATCAGCGAGCGAGGCTGACAGGAGGATGGTTCTGCTAACACAATGCTCCAAGCCTTAGAGCCGCTGTGGAAAGCAAGCGTCAGTTTTACTGCCTGCTTTCTGCCTTGGCGTTTCGGGTGGCAATGAAGCTGTCATCCTAACTCTTTGTCACGGAGATGGAAGCAGGCTTAGCGATGTGCAGCAGCTGGGATCACACACATCCTGCAGCCCGGCTGCAGCCCGACTGCTTGCTCCCAACCCCGACCTCCGCCATTTCGCAACGCTGACGCTAATTAAGGACTTCCTGAGCGCTTTCCTAAGCTTGAGAGTCAACTTTTGTCACCCTCCCGCTGTTACGCCCTCACAGCCACCTCTCAGCCATTCGGTTTGCTCCCACGCCAGGCTGTTTTTCCCAGAGGACCCAGCCCAGACCCAGCGCCCAAAGGGGGGGCACAGCCGCAGGCCCGCCGCCATGGCGACTGCCATGGTAACCACGGCGAGCCGGAGCGCCCCCTGTGGGCCTCAGGGAGAGAGAGGAACTGAATGGCTACGAGAAATGCCAATCACCGCCCTCACAGCGATCAGTCTCTCTCATTGGTTATTTTGTTAATAGAACCGCTCACTACTTAAGCTTTTCAACCAGTCAGCGCCTTGCTTCCGTTCCGATCCTTCCGTCCGCGGTTCCATCCTGCCTTCGTATTGGTGGGCGGCATAGAGAGCGTAGCCAATGAGCGGAGGCGGGGGAGCAGGGGACGGTCACCTGACGCCCGGGGCTGAGGGCGGAAGCAGGAAGTGGCCGGCGGGCCCGGTGGTGGCGGCGGCGGCGGCGCCATGGGGGCGGTGCTGGGGGTTTGCTCCTTGGCCAGCTGGGTGAGTGGCGGCGGGGCTGCTCAACCCCGCTTCATTCCGATCGGTTTTCCTCCCCTCACCAGCACGCTATGGCTGCGGGGGCCTCGAGGTGAAGAGGATTTGCGGGGTGGGTCTGGTGGGTGGAGGTCCGGCCTTGTCAGGGACCGCGGTCAGGATTTTGCTCCCTGGCGTGGAGCGGATGCCGGGAGGTAGCGAACCGCAGGGCTGTGGGGCAGAGGGAGCCCGGGTCGTGTCGTGTGGGGCCGTGCCAAACACGGGGTCGCTCATAACTGCGGACCGAGCGTGACCCAATTGCGAGTGGCGCTGACTGAGAGCAGCTCCGAGCTCGCAGCTGGGCTGTTCCCGTCCGCTTGTGGTTGCGCAGCTGACCTCAGCCCCCAGGCAGCGCTTTCAGCTTCAGAGAGAGCTTTGTGTTTCTTCAGATTCCCTGTCTGTGCGGCGGTGCCTCCTGCCTGCTGTGCCGATGCTGTCCCAACAGCAAGAACTCCACCGTGACGCGCCTCATCTATGCCCTTCTCCTCCTCCTTAGCACGGCTGTTGCCTGCATTATGCTGGCACCAGGGATGGAGGAACAGCTGAAAAAGGTATGGAGGAGAAAATCTCTTGTTTACTGTTGCGTATCTGGAGCTTGTGCAAATGGCTGTTGATTGGTTTTACTTGGAGTGGAACACAAAGGAGCCACAGCATCCAGATGACCTGGGAGAGTCCCTTGATTTATGAAACTGAAACTCAACCAGGCCTGACGCTTCTCAGACATCACTGCCAACATCTGTAGCTTTCCACCTTAATCTTTCTGAATGCTTTGAATGCTTGCAGTGGTGACCTGGAGAGAAAGAAAAATGGCCGTGAGGTCTGTGCAGGCTGGCTGAGCAGAAGGTTTTTTGTTAACAGATTTTCTAGAGGAGAGCTGACTGGGAACCATAGTTGTTAGAATGCTTAAAGAATGTGATTGCAAATACAGAAGTGAGTTCACAGCTAAATTTGTCTTTGCTCATTTCCTCAGGTACCTGGATTTTGTGATGAGGGGCTTCACACTCGGATCCCACATCTGAATGGCTTTGTCAGCTGTGATGTGTTTGTTGGATACAGAGCTGTCTACCGAATCAGCTTTGCCATGGCAGTGTTTTTCTTTGTCTTCTCTCTGCTCATGATAGCTGTGAAAACAAGTAATGATCCAAGAGCTGCAGTGCACAATGGGTATGTCTGTAAGCTGGCCATCTGGTCTTCTAACTTCTTTCCTCTACTTCTCTTCTCAAGTTTGTCATTGTGCTCAACAAAGAAATTGTTTCAGTATATGTTAGTGGTTTGAAGTTTCCTTGGAACTGAATAAAGAGTAATACTTAAGTCTTTTAAAAGGCTTCCTGTTTGTGTAACTTAATCAGTGTAATGGGAAGCTAAACATCACTGCTGACACGAAAAGGAGGTGATCATTATCTCTGTGTTTCAGCAGAGATGCTGGATACTGTTTATTTTTTTTATGTATCCCCTTCCTTGTGCTGTCTGGCATTTGTTGGGTCGTTCTCTGGGCCAGTCTGACTCAATCAGAGAGTCTGCATGCAGTGCAAAGCCTTAACACCATTCTTTAGACTGTTGAACGCGATAATTAGATCTTGCTTTTCCCTTCTCCAAATTTAATGGTACACAATTAGCCTTCCTCCCATTGAGGATGTGCTGCTGACTCATGTCTATTTGCTTGGAGCAGGAGCTGCTATGCAGACTTCTGGCTGGCCTGAAGTCTGCAGCCCTTTAGGCTGAGGGCTCCCAGCCCTTCCTGTTGCCCCAGGTGCAACGGCTGCGTTTACCCTTTTTTTTCCCAATTTAGTGAACTTCTAATCCCACTACACAAAACTTCTTGCTTTATTTCTTAGGCATTCATCTGTGCACAGTGGGCTGCTTGCAGATCTTGTAAAACTTGAATGTCGTATGCAGAGTAATACCCATGCTTTTAACTTTCTTCTTCTAAAGGTTCTGGTTCTTCAAAATAGCTGCCATTGTGGGCATCATGGTCGGAGCATTTTACATTCCTGAAGGGCCTTTCACAAGAGGTACAGTTAAATCAAAATCATAAAATTCTGTTTAGTAAACCCAAACTTTGTCACAGACTTCCTGGGCTCTAGTTGTGACAGTGGAAGTTACCTTGTAGAAAACACAGATTCTATCCTACTTCTTAATAATGTTATGGTGATCAACTGAATTAATGGCAAGGAACAATCTCTTCCAAGTGCATAGGTGCTATGTATCACTAATTCAATACTCTGTTATGTCAGCTTCTGGGAAGAGACTTCTGATGCGGTTCTGATTGGAGGCATCTCAGAATGCTGACTGTGATTAATGCAAAATAATGCCCCAGAGTCTCTGAATAATCTCTGCAGGATATTTTTACTGTCTGGCCACATTATGGGAACCTCAAGAGAGTTGCTGAGCCTCAGATAAATGTGGCTTTACAGTGTACACAAACAGGTCTCGTGTTAGATCTTAAATTCATTCAACGCCTTGGGCTAAACATTTCCATGCTCCTCAGCTACTGGAGTCATGCATGAAATAGCAGTCTCCTTGCGTGCTTCTGAACTGTGAATAACAGTTAGTATATAGTTTTGGGGTTTTTTTTTAATTGTCTGGAGTAGAAGTAGCTTTTATCCCTTTTCCTGGCTTAGCATGTAAATAATGACAATGAAGCTTGTTTTGTTACTCCTTTTTTCTAGCCTGGTTTGCTATTGGTGTTTGTGGAGCCTTCTGCTTCATTCTGATCCAGTTGGTGTTTCTTGTGGACTTTGCTCACTCCTGGAATGAGAGCTGGGTTGGGAGGATGGAGGAGGGAAATTCTAAGTGTTGGTATGCAGGTAGGAATCTTAAACTGGCGGGGATTTGTTTTGGCTGGCCAGAAGTCTGCAGAATATCACGTACTACTTTGCAAACATATCCCAGTATGATACTGTACAGCCTTCATGAGTCACTGCTGTAAACATTTGGAACTTATAACCAGAGTGGCCTTTTTCTCATTAAATAAAATGCAAAATATTCTAGGCTTGTGACTAGCAGCTCTGACAGCCATAATAAACAGTGCTCAACTTGTCCAGTCTGCAGTGTGAGTGCAGAGCTAGCAGCCTGGTTCTCTTCAGTTCTAACTTTCTTTTATCACCTTGTTGACTCAGAAGGCCAGTTATGTCAGTGATAGTGGCTGCAGTACAGCACTGTGCCTTGGCACGTTGCTAACTTCTCTACTGAAATTAATGCTAATAGTTGTGGTTCTTTGTTCATAGATGTCAATGCTGTAAAAGCATTTTCTAGCTTCATCTCAAAAATACACAAGAATGAAAATGTAAACAGTGGCCTTCAGCCCATGGAAAGTGTGCAGAAAGTGCTGTCCTTTTGGGTGCTCTGGCTTGTGACCAGCTGAATTGCATCTGGAAAACAGATCTTGTTCCCCTGATGAAAGCATTGGCTTTTCTCTGAGCCACACTGCCCAGAGAACCAAAGCAGGCATCTGGCCACGTTTAATAAAAATGCCTTCTGCTAGTCTAGCTTTCTTAATCAGGTTTGGACGTGAGGAAGGGGAATGGTCCCTTTACACTGGTAGTTAGCCTTTAAATCGCCCTAGCTGCTCTGTTAAAGCTTTATGTCCTTATTCTAATAGTTATTTTTCCCCCTTCAGCTCTGCTGTCCTGTACAAGCTTGTTCTATGGCTTGTCAGTGGTTTTCGTTGTGCTCTTTTATGTTTTCTATACAACACCTGAGGATTGCACTGAGAACAAATTCTTCATAAGCTTTAATATGATCCTGTGCATTGCTGTATCTATTGTTTCCATCCTTCCAAAAGTTCAGGTACTGTTTTTCTTTATTTTATTCTGGTATACAATGCAAGAAAGTAAGAAGGGTGTCATACCAACGCAGCCAGGCAGAATTGTAATGCTTGGCTGCCATAACAATGCTAGCTGGGGATATTTAAGGAATAAAGATTAAAAAAAAGAAAAGCTCTGAGACAGATGCATTCTGTAGTGATGCATTTCCTGAAGATAGGCTTTTTTTGTTGTTGTTTTTTTTTGCTAACATTGTTTTGAGGTTTCCGTGGGTGTCCCTGCTGGCATGGCTCTGGTGGTGAAGGTTCTGGCAGAACAAAGAGCCCATAATGGAAAAAGTAACATAAGAACGGAATTTATTACTGTAATGCTCCAGCTTCATAATCGTGTGAGAGTTTAATATCAGTAGGAAGCTTTCATGTTACTTGATTCTGAACTGGCAGCTCCAAATTGCATACTAGATTCATATCCACGAAACTGTTAAGCAAGTTGGGGTTAACTCAGGAAAAATCTGTAGCTGAGTCTTGAGCACAGAAGATCTGGGTTTGGTTTCTTTAGTCCTGCTGTGTTTGAGTTGCTTGCTGTGTGAATTATACTATTGTAAGTTTTATTACTCCTGTTTTTTAAACAGTATGAAGCCCAATGCATTTCTGAAAACTGAAATTCATAGGCATTCATTTACCTACAGTGGCAGCTGCCCTTTTCACGTTGGCTTGTCTTTCAACAGGAATATCAGCCTCGATCTGGCCTCCTCCAGTCCTCTATCATTACCTTTTACACCATGTATCTCACTTGGTCAGCCATGTC